CCCCCCCCCCCCCCCCCCCACAATTCCGAAAATTCGAAAATGAAAAAAAAAATCTTACAATTTCAAAAAAAAGAGTTGTTTATTTTTGGGCCATTGCTAAGTATTTTCCAAGTAAACATAGTTTTCAATGGTGATTAACTTGCCGCTGCAAATTCAAGGGTTATTAACTCGTCTTCGAAAGCTGGCACCACCATGTGTGTGTGTGTGTGGGGTGTGTGTTTGTGCGTGCAGGACTTTCAGATTCATTGGGCTTTATGATATTCTGAGGACTAAAACCCATAGACGGCCCAAGCTAAGAGCAACAGGGAGGGACCAAGAAAGAGTACAATGTGGCCGGAGGAGACCCCACTCGAAGAACACATGATGACCTCACGAGAAAGGTATTAAGTCACGAGAGTTTTAGCTTGGACCCAATCTCGGCCTCGATACACGTGTCGACTCACGTGCTTCCAAGACACTGTCAGATCATCATCAGCGGGTCCTGTACCTCTCTCAAGTCGGCAAAATCCTTTTAATTTTCTACTCTCTTCCAAAAAAAAAAAAAAACCTGTCTGGTAGGATTGTACTGGTGCTTGTTATCGTTTATTAATATTTATTTTTTAAAAAATAATTTTTATTTAAAAACATTAGCATATTAAAATAATATTTTTTTATTTTAAAAATTCAATTTTCATGAATCGTCCTTGTGTCCGACTACAATTAACTTTGAAATGATAGTTATATATTGATCTCATGGCGATTGACAAGGTGTTCGCTTTTTGGTGTCTTCCATTCCTTAAAATTTTGAGATTTTGGTTCAGAGGTTCAAACTAAGAAAAAAAGGGAAAATCTTGAAATCAAAATCAGAAGAGAACCGTCTCTATTATGTAATTCAGAATATATTCAGCCTCTAGCTGGTAAAAAAGAAGAAGAAAGAAGCTTTACAGTGACTTCAAAATTAAACATTCTGACTAAAACTAAAGTTTACATCATAGGCATGAGACTTAAGTGTTAACAAGAAAAATCAAAGCCCTGTCATCAAAATTAGAAACTCATCTCCACGAGAGAAGAGGATCACGATGCCGTGTCATTTTATGCACTCAAGAAGGGAAATTTACTAGCACAAACAGAAAAAATCATGATTTTTCAACTTTGGATAGGCTCTTAGAAGTATTATTAATTCGATTTTCCATGTTTTGGACTTTTATTATTATTACTACTCAGTAGGAAAACAATTTCCAAGTTCTTGAGCTGATCAGAGAGTAGACATCAAAGATTTTTTACTTGGAACAGAGTAGTGGGTCTATGATCCATGATTCTAAAGATTTCCTCCTCAATTCTGGGTCAATGCAGCAATAAGAAGGCACAGACCACAAAAAATCTGAATTATTTACTATGACTTCTTTTTTTTTTCATAGGTGGATATGCTTCTAGATGTAATCTAATTAAATGATTATTTTTAAAAGTTAAATTACAGGAGAAAACCTATTAACCCAAGATCCGAGCGATCATATACTTTATATATGAATCCATACTTGCATATGAGTCCTAGCGATCATATACTTATATATAAATTAAAAAAATACAAGTGGATCATATACTTATATACGAATTAAAAAAAAACAAATAGTAAAATTCAATCATAATTGATGTCTCACACGCTATTTGGTTTGACTGAGTTATATTAATTCTTGCAGGTCACGGATGAGAAAAATGAGGAGATGCTCAAAAGTGGGACCTCGAAACCAGAGAATGGTATCCTAATGATTTGGCATTTTTGGCTCTTTTCGGCTACTTGTCTCCTCACTCGGTTGGTATTCTTTGCTATTTTAAGTCGGCTTGAAAATACTGAATTGAGAGTCAGCATAGGATGTCCAAATTCACGACTAAAATTGCAGGCAGTATTTTTTCTCTAAACTCTTCCAGTGCTAAGGAATTTCATGGAAATTGCTGTGGTTAGAACCCTTCCTTGTCATGTTATCTAATTTTCAACTAAACAGGAGTCCATAAAAGCAAGACTCAGAATTTCATCATTCTGAATTTTTTATGCGAGCGCATGAAAATAGCATTATCAACATGCACAAAAGCAGCTGCTTCGACCACTATTTACCTAACAGTTTGATCAAGTGGATATTTCATAACCATCCAGGGAAGAAAAAAAAGATTCAACGTTAGTATTTACAAAGTTCTACAGGGCAATGGCCTATAAAATATTACCTCTTCAAGAAGAGACCACACTCGGGTTGATATTGGTACTTCCTACCTGCCGACAGAATTCTTGAAGAATTAAAAGTTCCTGTTTCTGGCCCAGAATATTTTCCGTGTCTGATCCTGAAAGTTAATTAATTACCACTGGACCACACAAAATGTCATTCTTTATCCATTTTTCATGGGAATCAGATGAAGACAAGCAACGATAAATCATAAAAGGATGCCGAACAAGCTTGCAAGAGGATGAGAAGTGATGACAGATGAGACATACAAAAACACATTGGATAGGGGATACAAGAGGGAGTTACACTCTCGTTAACTCCTCTTGACCTGTTCAGTCCTCTAAGGCACACCTAAAATGCACACAAGACTATAGGGTTGCAGCTAAAAAAACCAGTAAGATGATAGGATGCATTTATTGGATGTACAATTTTGATTGATTATGGTGGCTGGCCTGATAAAAAATTTTGTGGCACCACACCCTAGGGATTGAAGCACATTATGGAACAACTTTGGTGTTACTAACAAACACGATCTGTAAGGAAAAGCAGCAGCTTTTCCTACAACTCACCAAGTTCTCTCACCGAAGTTGGTGCAAGGGGACGCTGAATCATCTTCCTTTCAGGTATATGCTTTGGAAGTTCCAAGCAGACTGGAAACGTATTCAGAATTCTGCGTTTAAAACATAACCATAAGAAACAAAATCAGCCAAACTCGGAGACTCAAGTAAAGGATGAGACTTGTGTTCTTTAATTAAAGCTTTTAAGCCAAGTATTGGCCAGCCAACAAGTTGATTAGGGGGATAGCATATTGTGATCACGCAATAACATCAAATGCTATAGCAAAGATAAAAGCATAGCAATTTTAGATTCTTTGGATGCTTCTGCATTAAATCAGTGAGGACAAACTTGAAACTATCTAATTTGTCACAAGACAACAGAGAAATCTAAATGAACATTGCTTCCTAAAATGTCATCTAAAAGTTCAAAACCTTTGTCCATTTAAATCAGACACAAAATCCAATGAATGCTTTCAATGCAGCAAAACTGTTAATTGCTATGCAGTCTCCCCATGCACTGAACTCACCAATAGAAACCAAACCAAGCCCCTATTTGGGAGATGGACTACGAATAAAAAATAAGATCATTAATCAGACACGGTCTCATTGAAAAGGGTCCAAAAGGGTAGAATTTGAAGGCAAATCCTCCTAGCATTTTAGGAAGATAAATTTGAAGTCTTTCGATGAAGGACTGCTCTCAAGTTTTCCAACTTGCATCCATGAGATGGTTGCAACTTGCCAGACCAAAGCTTTCATCAAAGATTTATGCGTGTGACATACAAGTGGAGGAAGACAACTCACAATATAATCAGCCAGATGTGGAAAAGGTGAGATGATTGGCCTAGGCCTGTGCAGTGTCTAATAATTGCGATACATATACTTTGCTTGCCAAGTGCTTTAGTCCACTCTTCTATTACATATGAGTCCAGGACTCCATATTGGGCAATATCCTCTTCAAATCCCGTCTTTTTAGTAGTAACTCCAAATACGAAACAGTCACTTAGCTGGGTATCTCATGCTAGATCACTTAAGTTACTTGACATTCCACATATTCGTAGTGCAGCAAAATTCTTATATTTCTATGAAATAATGTTCTAATTTTTTCCGGCCAAAAACTAGAATCGTTAAGGAAATTGTTAAGAGTATGAAATATATTTTTGATAGGCTACCCTAAGAAATATATTATGAAAATAAGTACCCAAACATACATTTCTGTTAGGATAGTGAAATTTCATTAAGATATTGATTCAATTAGTATGGATATCCAGGTGTGTCCTGTAAATCATAATAATCAGACAGAATATGGAGTTCTATTTATGCATCCCATGTTTGATTGATTATACTTTGAAATTTGAACCTATCCGGGCCCGAAATCATTTCAAATTTCTCAAGCCTTGATCATTAGACCAATTAATTGAATTGAAGAATGTACAGCTTAACAAAGTTCTCCGCTAACAACTTCTTTCGGATATGTTGATGTCTCATCCTGAGAAATGGACCAAATTATCCTTTTAAAGCATCTGCTACATTTTGTCCACCGTATGTCAACCCCTAAGATTCTGAGCTCAAGATACATGACAAGCGCAACACAACCAACAACCCCGTCCTATCGATAAAATTACAATCATTAAAGCTTCACCTTTAATTTATGAAGCCAACAATTATGTTAGAAAATAGGCTGTTGTGCTTGGAACACGTCTAATCAGTGAGACGCCTGCAGATGACGATCACTTGTGGTGGTTTACATTTAGGCATATGGCAGAACTAGGAAATCCTTCTCTTTTTTTTCCCGAAAACTGATTTAGAGCCACATTTAAACTTTTAGAGACGCTATACTGTTGAGAGTAGAGTTGGTCTAAATAGCGTAGAAATTTCTTGAATCTAAGGTTTATTGATCATGGCAGCGACTCACATAAAGGTCATATGTCACACCCCCTTGTAATTGAAGCACATGGAGCACCTACCATAAAAAAGACATCTCTCGCCTATGCAACAAGCAATATGGCAAGTAGAACTTGTAATATTTAAGCAACATGACTAATTTTCGGACTATAACTTACCAAGTCCTCTCGGCATAGTTGGAGGGGAGGAAATGTTGTATCATCTTCCAATTCAGGTATATGCTTACAAGAGGTCCAAAATAGACTGGTAAAAACCTCAAAATTTCTGCTAGTCCAACAGAACAAGAAAAAACAGAGTCAGGCAATCTGGAGACCAGATAAATAAAGAAATATAAGTCTTAAACCAAAGGCTTTATGATTGGACTTGCCTGCTGTTAAGTGAACATGGATGCATAACGACTTGTTTTCACATTCCATCATATCATAACGCTCAAGCTTAGATATAAAAGCTCTCAAGTTTAGATCAACCTTTTGCATCTTTGGACATTTCTGGATTCATTATCAAACCGGTGAGGGCAGCATTTGAGACTATTTTTTCTCTCATAGTGTAACAAAACCTAACCAACACCGGTTGTTACAATAATATAAAAAAAGTTTCATTTAATCTAATACAGGTGATCAATTTGCCTATGCAACTTTTTCCATGGAGCAAGCACCATTATTTGCCTATGCAACTCACAAATACAGGTGACCAATTTAAATAAAGTTAAGATTCTAAAAGGAACATGAATCAAATTCCAGGGGCATGTAGATAGTATGCAAGTTTTTGTGCATGTACTCTGGAAAATTTAAATAAATCAAGTCTCAGTCCAAACTAGTTGGAGTTGACTACATAACTCTGCCTCCTCCAATGGATTCTGTCAAGGGATAGACTTTCTGCAAGTTAATGTGATAATATTGCTATCACTGCACCCTCCATAATTTTAATTATCTCCTCCCACTGCCTCAAATTTCTCAATTTGATGACTCTTCTCCACCAGTGCATCCGTTGGTCAACTTTAAGTATGATTAAAACATCTCAAGCGATCTTCTTATCTTGTCCTTAATGGTGTCACTGGCTCTACTGCTGAGGTACTCATTAATTGACACGGTCTTTGTTGATGGTGAGTAAAAGACTTGTCCATATGAGACGCTGCAACAAAGCATTTCCAAGAGGAAATTGCAAATTTACATATGCGAACACAAACGTGTGTATGCACGCGCATGCATGATAGAAAGAGTCCAGCAACTAACAAGAAAGCTAGCCAGTCGGGACAAAAATGATATGATTCAACCTAGGGTTAGTAGCCATCAATTTGGACAGCCTAATACGTGCTGGGAATGCCAACTGGTGTTATTTCCCTAGACTGTTTTATTGGCTCTCCTAGTTGGTGATGTGTCCATGTCAGGCAACGAAAATCTTTCTGCAAGATTAGTTCCTAACAATAAATAGTTACTTCATGAGTCATCTTGCTCCTAATTTTAATGACTTTGAAGTCCACTTGTCCCATAAATTTTTATATACTAAGCAGGGTATTAAATTTTTATATACATCATTTCTTTGAGTATACATCAAAATACATTATTATTCTGGACATGGAAGCTAAATATGTAATGTTTTGATACAATTCACACAATCAGATTCAGTTTTTGATTTAATATTTTATAATTTGCAATTTTACTCTATCAAATATAACTCTCAATTCGACAAATGGATAAAGCTAAAATTTTACCAAAAGTTTCTAGAGATCTTGTTTTATATTGATTTAAAATTTCTATTCAACCAAAATTAAAAAAATATATCATGATAAAGACCAAAAATTGTTGTACAGATTTTGCTATTTGTTTCCTTATTATTTGTGGACTTTTTATTTAACAAGGATTTATTTTCTACAAAAACAATATAGATGACAACAATTAAAATTATTTTTTAAAGGGTTTTCATGTCAGCAACTTGTGTATCCTTTTATTTTGTAGATTTTCTTATTGCAAAGTTTCTTCATCATTCAAAGATATTAGAGGTGATTTTGAGCTTATATTTTTTAATATACAGTTTTACATTGACAAATATATTTTTTTATTAACTGTTGGATCAAGCTAAAATTTTTTCAGATAATTCTAAAGACCTTATTTATATAGGGTTAAAATTTCATAGTGATTGAATATCATGAAGGCCTTGCAATAAGATTCAAAAGCTATTGTGAGGGATTTATATTCGTTTCCTAGTTGATTTAGGATTATTCTTTTATTTTATTTAGAATTATTTTATTATTTTTCCAATATTACTTAGGATTTTTTTTTTACCAATTGTAAAAAAGGTTATTTATATTTTTTTTTGGGATAGACTTCAATTTCAATAATTATTAGTGTAGGAGTTTTTCCTCATACTTTTTGGTTCTTTATTAAACTACTCTGATTTATCGAAAACTTAACCAAGTTTCGTGATGTCTTTAATACTTCTCGTTCATGATTCTTTATAATCATTAGGTGAGGATTTGATTATTTATAGTTTTAGTGTCTCAGTATATGTTATCATTGTGTCAAACTCGATTCCAAACTTGATCTTAGTTTTCTTAGAAAGAGTCGATTTAACTATGAATTTGCAGATCTTTATATTCACAGGGTTCATATCAGTTGGTATCATAACAAGACTTTAAATCAAGTTATATTCCTCTTATCTTCAAGTTTTCGTATGCTCCATTATTGTCAAATTCTTTATCTTCCCTAAAACCTATTCTTGACATCAGTTAAAAAAAAAGATATTATTTAGGATCTTGATTAAATAAAGTCTTATAAAAATAAACAAAAAAAAATCACAAAAAAAAAACCGAATTAGAGTTTGCCACAAATCTTGATTCAAAAAACATAGAATTCGGTCACTTTTGCTTTAAATATTAAAAAGAAGAAGAAATCTTGATTCTTAAGGTTTTTTAGAGATAAATCTTGATTTGTGATATTTTAGATTTACTTGGTTGGGTTTTCTTAAAATTTAAAGTTTTCAAAATAAATAAATAATAACATGTAGTTTTTGCATCATTTTTTTTCGTTTCGGCTACCATATATATATATATATACCTAGTTGGGTTATTCGAGTCTTATTTCGTTAATCCTTTTATTTTCATAATTTGTTTTCATGTCTTTGTATTGTTCATATTTTGCTCAAATTCATTTTGTTATTCACAATTTCGTATTCGTAGATTTGTATTGATAATCTTCAGTTTTTATTACTTCTTAAGTCTTTATATTATTTTGGATTGTGCTATTAAGTGATTAATTTTTCTGATTTGTTGTGAATTGGTACCTTAATAATTGAAATTTTTGAGATTGAGCAGTAAAAGATGAAAGGTGAGTATATTATAATGAAAAGCTGAAAATTTATGTGAAACACGAGAATAATGACATCTATTGAGTGTAAATAAGTGAGGAAGTATGTGGGGATATATTTTCTTACCACTAACGTGATTTTTAGATCTTAATAATGTCTTTCAAATGTGCTACATCCCCGCTCAAAGAGAGAAAATCAAGCTTTTATGTTACACGCCATGAAGCAAATTCAAATGATGAATATGAGATTTGATGAGTGGTTTGAATAGAAAATAAAAGAGATGCTAAATTGCAAAAGGGATAATCTTAAAGGGTTATTAATGTTAGAAAGCATGAGAAACTAAGGTTCCAAACTCCAAAGATTGATGGCGAAAGAGCTTCTATGAACTTAGTAAATGAGTGCAAGGAAATTACAGAGTTATTTGCAGAAACAAGAAAACTAATTGATTATAACGAAGCTTTAAATCAACATCGATAAGATACAAACGAAAAAAAGAATTTGCTTGTTGAAAGGATGCAAAACAAGAGAGAACCTGTTATATTTGTACAGTGTCACTGGAGGCAAAAATTGACAAAAAAAGAGCTCTAAATGCTTAAACCAAAAGCTAATGAAGTGGGTGCTACTGTTGCTCTAGATTTTACCATAGTTTCTATTGGTGATTCGAGGACAAGTCCTTTTGAAAAGAGGAGGAATGATACAATCCATGTAAGGGTTGGACAATCTGATTCGTTTTCTAGCTTAATATTTCATAATATGAAGTGTTATTCTAACTGGATCGTACTGAAATTTTACCAGAAGTTTCTAGATGTTTTATTTTATGTTAGCTTAAAAGTTTCAGATCAATCGAAATTCAAAAAAGCATCGCGATACAAGCCAAAAGTTGTACGAGTTTTGCAATTTATTTTCTTATGATTTGTGGACTTCTTATTTAACAATGATTCATTTTCTACAAGAACAATATAAGTGACAGCAGTTGAAATTATTTTGGCACGGATTTCCAAGTCAGCAACTTGTGTATCCTTTTTTTTTTTTTTGGGATTTTGTAGTTGGCAAAGTTTCTCTATCATTCAAGAACAATAAAGGTGATTTTGGGTTTACATTTTCTTATACATCATTTTATGCTGGCAAATATGTTTTCCTATTCAACCATTGGATTAAAGTGAAACTATTCTAAGTAATTCTAAAGGTGTTGTTTTATATAGGGTTAAATTTCATTGTGATCAAAATCGTGAAGGCCTTATGATAAGATTTAAAAGCTACCGAGTGGGATTTATATTAGTTTCCAATTTGATTTAAAATTATTTTTTCTATTTTATTTAGAATTCTTTTATTGTTTTTTCATCATTCTTTAGGATGTTTTTACCATATTTACCATATTATAAATATGGTTATTTAACTTATATTTAGGTTTATTTTTAGAGAAACAAACTTTAATTTCAACAATTATTATATTATGTGTGAGGTTTTGCTAATATTTTATTGTTCTTTATTGAACCAGTGTTGTCATAGGCAAAAGGTCCTAAGAGATACCAAGCCTATAAAATGCCCAAGGAGCTAGGTGCACGCCTAGGTGCTCTTCTAAATAAACCAAGGAAATATGCATAGATATATTTTATTATATAAATCTAAAATATATCTTCCCAGTTAAGATTAAATCATTAGAAAATCAAAAGAAAACATAAAATATTTTTAAGACTGAAAACAAAATAATATAAAGTAGTAAGTAGACAGTAGATTAAAAAAATAAACTTAAATATCATCATCATTATTCATTAATCTTCAAAAACATCATCATCCATGCTCTCATGTTCTTTACTTGTATTGTTGTTCTCTAACTCTATTTGACGCAAAGTAAGGTTGATTTTTCTCTCCGAGTATCTTTCTTTAATATGTCTTCCACTTTGATGAATTTTTTTACCTTAATATTCGATATTTAAAAAAATATCCCCAAGTTGTTTCTTTTGGTAAATTAAAAATACAAATAAATAGGTCAAAACATAAATCAGTTTAAAAAAAAAGAAGAAGAAAAATCCAACAAAAAAGAAAGTAATTCAATCAGGCGCTCGTTTTAACATCTGGCGCCAACTTATAAGATACTCGCCGAAATAGTGCTTCATTGAAATTCATTGTCTAAGGCTAATAAAGGAGTTGTGGCCTCACCTCACCTTGCCTCCCTCGAAGTGCCTGCAAGTGCCTCTTGACAACACTGCATTAAATTACTCTGACTTATCGAAGAATAAATCAAGTTTCATGGCGTCTTCATACTTGTTCGCAATTCTCTTTACTTGTAGGGTAGGAGTTCAATTACTTATAGTTTTGGTATTTTGGTATAGATTATAATTATATTAAGCTTAATTTTAAACTTGATTTTAGTTTTCTTGAAAAGAATCAATTTTACTGTGAGTTTTTTAATTTTTATATCAACATAGTTCGTGTAATGTTGTTTGTTGGTGTATATCAGTGCAAGTGTGCCACCATGCGTTTATAAGAAAACATGATAGTTAAAAAGTAGTGTTTTTTACTGTATAGTGACTTTGACAGTCTACGTTATGAAACTTATATTTTTAACAAGTCATTCAATTTCATCGTTTCTACTTCTTAAGCTAATTCTTATGCTGGTTTAGACAACAGAAGATGGAGGGGTTCAATTTGTCACTTCTTCCCTAACAACTACTTCTTTATGTTGATGCCTTATCATAAAAAAAGAGAACCGAAGTATTCTTGCTTCTGATACTTAGTATTCATTATAATGTCACCCACAACACAAAAATTTTGCAAACTCAACAAACACGAAAAATGTAACACAATCAACCAATACCAAGACCCATCTTACTGATTAGAGGAGGATCATTTTATTAAATTCAAGACCTATCTTTACGTTGCACACCTAGACAAAAATATAAAAGGTGATAGCACACAGTCATGAGAGTTTTTCAAACTTTTTCCATGTAAATGATAAGTAATTTCTGCTTGCTATTTTATCACAGGATGACCAACTAGATATCAAAATTGACATCCATTTTATCTCTATATTACTTTTTGAGACAGGTGTGCTCCTCCCTTGTCAAAGAATAAAAAAGGGATTTTCTCACTTCAAGACAGCACTCAATGATTGCAATGGAAAAAGAATATATTACCCTTTCACCGCAAAGCGTCCTCTTGGAGGTCCTCCAACAAAGGATTCATGCTTTCGATGGAATTTCTTCGGTGTACACCTCACATACCACCAGGACATAGACAAAGACACTCTTTGTCTGCTTTTCTAGAAGTAAACATCATATTGTCACGATCTGAACAAATATGTGATAGTGAAGCATGTCATAAGCTAAACAATCAATCCATAAATTAAGATAATGTTTCAGCATTTCCAGTGTGGATAATTTGCACCTCCCATTTTCACATTTCTCACAATAATATTATAAATTTTGAAGAAAACATCCGTTTAACTGCCTATAAATGCTTCGAAAAATCTCCCATTTCCTAAAGATTACAGCAACACAACCACGATAAACCTAACCAGTAAAGGAGAATAATCCCAAACAATGATCAAGTAATTAACAATGGGTGATCAAAGATTAATCAATCATGCTAGTCAGGTAAAAGAATAGAATTCTTACCGTTGTTGCAATTTATGAAATCTTGGTTGTATCAGCCAGTTCTGCAGAAAATTGAAATTTCTGCTGCCTCCGTGTATGGGCGGAGTAGAGAAGCGCATCAGTATTTTTAACTGGACTGGACTAGACTGGAGCACTTTCAAATACAGACCTAAACTCCGACTCCCTGGAACCTACCCTATTATTAGCCCAGCCCACAAACAGTAGCCGGGTCTATTCATAATAGCTTTCGGAAGGTGCTCTTATTTGCGCTAAGTTTTTTTTTAAAAAAAAACAATTATTTGCAAGTTGATAAAGTTTTTTTTTTTTTCCCTCGCGATTGCTCGCTTATAAATTATTAACAAAACATGAATTAATTAATAAAATATTAAAAGAGGTGCACCTCGCAAAACACATTTGATTGTCTGAGCATTTTAAAGTTCTTTTGGAAAAAAATGATTTTATTTTTTATTTTATTTTATATTAAATTAATTTTTTATTTTTTATATTATTTTAATATATTTATATCAAAAATAAATTTTAAAAAATAATACTATTGATAAATAATTCCAGCGTTGATTTAATCCCCGCTCCGTCTCCGATTCGGACGTTACTACCCCCATGGACTTGAACTTTCAAACCACACACGAGGCTTTTCACGAGATATATTGATTTCTTCCCAACCCCTTTTAAGTTCTTTTTAATTCCTTTTTCCTCAGTAATGAAACACTCATTCATACTGCATTACTTGGAAAGTCCAGTCAAGAGGAATAGAGGATCATGGATATTTTAAGCAGTCCTTTTCCTTCCTTCAATTTCGTGTTTTTAGGCAAAGTTCACATGGTTCATGCAACGACAAGTCAGATACATTAAGAGCTCATCGTACAGGAGGGCAGCTGCCCATGAAGATCGATCGTTTTGGTTTTCCGAAAGCGACTGCTCTTCATCACCATTTCGAGGACAGCACCACGATCCGCCACAAAATGTCACCATTAGCGCATTTGTTGGTTATTGGTCACGAAATCAATGCGATGCATCTTCGACCTTTGGAGCCCCGCGGGCAATGAAGATGAAAAATCAAGAGCCAAATTGCAGAGCCATGAAAAAAATCCACATATGGTACAGAAGCAACTTCAAGAATTTCATCACCGACCAAATCTCCCTTTCCCTTGCATTAAAGAAGAGACAGATCAAGAAAAAGAAAAAATCAAGCCGACGCAGTTAACTACGTAGTCGGTTGTCTGAATCCAAAAGCAACTAGTTGTGGCTTCTTGCAACTTGCAGCCACCCCTTGTCCATTCAACAGCATCTCACCAGTCTACATTTATTTGAGGCCAAGGAAAATTACAAGCTGCTGTTAACTAATGAATTAAATGCACAAGTCAAAAAGCGGTTGAGAGTGAAAATAAAATCTAGTAACCTTTGAGACAAATCATGATAAGGACTACCAGACTCTGTCCAAGCACTGCTGCAACCTAACCAAGATGGAGAAAAACAAGAAGACAAGATGTGCAAAACGGAGGAATTGACAAAACACAAGGGTTAGAAACACCAGAAAGAGACGCAGGTGAAGATTATAGCCTAATGACTTTTGAAAGGACCCATTGCAGCAAAAAAGACTATCAACTAACAATATGACCATGGAAACCTGCTACCGCAATGAAATGATCATTGGGGGAATTAAGTGGTGGTGGTGGTGGTTAGCAATGCGGAAAATTGTTCAATTTCTGTACTTAGGACTTGAACGCAAATAACCCAAGCGCTCAGCTAATGTATTCACATCCTCATCATCACCTCCTCCAGCACTCTCATTTAACAGTTCTTCCCAAAATCCCTCGTCAAGTTCTCTATCTCCGCTTTCTAGTGGCTCTAGCACCTCTACTCCATCCTCTTGCTCTCTCCTTGTCCTGCCATACCCTTGCATTTCCAATGCAAGTGCCTCCAGCTCTGACACTTCAAATCCGTAGTCTCCATACTCTAAAGCCTCTGCCTTGATGGGGTTTGCACTTTCATCAATACGGTTTGATTCACCACCACCACTTCGACCAGGTCTTTGATCAACAGGAATTCTTCTCTTTTTAGTCATTGCTTCCTCAAGTTCTTTCCTTTTCCCTTTCAGTTGGACTAACTGCAGTAGAAAAGCAGGATTTTGCATTGCTCGAGCTAAGAATTGCATCATCTGCTGCTGCTTTTGTTCTGTCCATTGTAGCCTTTGCTCCATAGCTTGTATATAAGATCTAGCTTTCTGTTGCTGCTGTCTAAGCTTCGCTAATTCCATCATCAAAACCTGCCTGTCACGTTTCAAGAGATCGATTTCTCCATCTAATCCAAAACGGCTAACTTCAACACAGGCATCTGGAGCTTGCTGTTGAGAAAGAGGCTGAGAAGCTGCCTTTCTTCTCTTTATATTCCTTAGAAGCTGCTTTTGACCCCTCAGAAATCCTTCATTGGCAAACTCCCATCTATCTGGATCAATCTTTCTAAAGCCCTGTAGGAGAAGAAAAGTTCCACAGTCAGAATCCAATATCAACCATCATCAATTCCTACCAAGAATATAAATTGCAAAATTACATCTCAACACAGACTAAAAAAAAACTACTTCCAGAATATCACTTTGACAGACAGTCCCATTACTGGTCCCAAGCATACTGATCGCTTTTAAGACATCCATGCACTTCATGAGTAGAGCAATCCAACTCTGCAACAGAAATCGGAGTTTTTTTTTCCGGTTTTTGTAACAATTAGAAATAATTTCAGGCCCCGCACCCAACAGGAATATTGAAGAAAAGGAAAATAAATAAATAAGTAAGAAGACCAGCTGCACCTAAATTAGAAAATGGCTTCAATAAACATTCCGCAAAAATAAATAAATAAAAGCAAAAATCCTGTAAAGTTACACGAACAGCATGTGATATTCCTGAGCAATCTTCTCACTAACACTGTTCTCTGGGCATAAAATTAATTTTTTTTTTAGTATCAAGAACCCATGTAGAGAAATGCCACATAAATGTTAAATCTGCTTATTTTCGATAAAATGGACTCGGAAAATAGACTGATTTTTTTTTAGCTGGGTATCAAACCACTTACATAAGTATTGAGCTGCCTGACAAAGCTGGAGAAATTATTATGCTTGAAGTATCTAGGAAGGAGATTTGAGGAGAAAGAATGAGGATCCCAAACAACAAAGCTAAACCCTCCTCTGCTCCAAGAAACTATGTGATTGGTCATTGGGTCATCCACCATGTCAAAAGTCTTGGTCAGGAATGGCGGTGGTCCTGTATCATGTAAACCTTCCATCGGCTGTGGTGGGAGCATCATTGTTGGCGGCTCATCACCGCTGGACAGAGGCAATAAACTTGATCCTGCGTACTCTTGCTTCACTGTTAGATATGGATTCATGATTGCAATTTGATTCACTACTTCAATTCTTATTTTAGTTTGATGATAAAAAAAAACTACTTGCCCCAGTGTCGGTTCAAGATTATTGATAAAACTAGCCTCGGCCAAAATTGAAACTCCTGGTGCAGAATGGATGGATTTTAGAGAAATCTTGTCGAAAAATGAAAGCTAGCAAGGAAAAGGCAAAGAAAAAAGTTCAAGAAAGTAATACAAAAAATGGGTTTGCTCCAAAAAAGAGAGATATGGTCAAGAAAAACAGAGGAGGCTACTCCCTTCAAGCTAGAAAGAGAATTCAAAGCAAGGTCATGGGGAGAAAAGAAGAGAAATTGTGATGAAAGAAACAGGGCAAAGTAGCATTAAAGATATATTCGAGTGATGAAATTTGCCTTGTTTTGGGAAAGGAAGGTCGTTTATGTCGTTACAAGTTGGTGAGCTTATGACACCTATACACAGATGAGAAATGGAGCGTTATCTAAAGCGATAAATAGAGGAGACGAGGCTTCGTTACTGTTTGGTAGTGCTGATGTTTTCGCTTTTGATTACGTTTTTGAATTATTTTTTATTTGAAAAAATATATTAATTTATAATTTTTTTAATTTTTTTCATATGCGTGTCAAAAAAATCTTAAAAAATAACAGTTTAGTGTATTTTTAAATAGAAAATATTTTAAAAAATTTCAGCTTTCAAACAACCGTTGTTGTTGATATTTTAAAAAATAATATTAAAAAGGTTATAAATTATAATTTTTTTATTAATCAGTATTTTCAAAAAAAAATATTTTTGGTGGAATAATGCAAAACCGTAAAGTGTTTTAATTAACTAAATATTTTTAAATATATAATTAAAATAAAACATGGATCACAACATAATCTTATTCGGAAAGATCTAGAGGTATTGGGTGCAGATATATTATTTTTTTATAGGAAAAAATCTAGCTGCTTTCTTCATTTGGAAGGGGTGGGGAAGAGGGAAAGCGGTCCTCTAGGAAACTTCTGGAACTTGCCATGGATGAGGACTGAAGGCACGGTGGAGGTGAGGTACGGGACCCATTATGTTGAAGTAAAAACTATGCAGTGGTTTTTGACTTTTTTTTGGGTATCTAAGATTTCAATAGTTCTATGACATTTGATTGGAGGAGGGTGGTGACTTTATGACATTTGATTGGAGGAGAGTGGTGCCTAAGACCCTACTAATAATTGGCTAACGTCACAGAAAATTACTGGCATGTTGAATCAAAATCACAAAAGAATTATTCAAGGGTCCTGATTGGAGGTAAAATGATCATGGCCTTTTTACGCTTAGTTGGCAGGGAGTACCAATTATGGAATGCTAGGAGATAAGCTAGGATTAGCTCAAGGGTGTGAGCTCTATCTTGAGGAGGAAAAATAAAGTCAATGAGTCAATACTCTTGCACTTTTAAAAAGTAGAGAAATTTGCATATGAAAGGTAAAACATGCACTAACAAATATATTTGATGAATCTATACGACAAAAGAAATGTAATTTAATAAAATTTATGAAATGTACACAGAGTGCTTTTGTTTGTAGATGATTTTTAAAGGGTATTTGTTTTAAAAAATATAGTGCTTTTTTGATAATATTAATGTATTAATATAAAAAATAAATAAATAATTATTTTAATATATTTTTAAATAAAAAATACTTTTAAAAACTAACTAAATTCTTAGTTTGCTGGATCAAATTGGTGCGTCAACGGCCAGTAGCTTAACTTGGAGAGGATATTTAAAAATAATATTTATTTCTATTGTTTTGAAAATAAAAAAATTATAATTTTTTAATACAATTCTGAATAAAAAACAGAAGAGAATCTATGATTTCTCTTTAATTCGTAGATCTATGGTTTATAATAAATAGAACAGCTGTAACGATTTATTTTATACAAAAGTATTCAATGC